CTTGAAGAGCTTCAATTTTGGCCCCTAATGCCCGCATCTGGGTTCAAGGTTCTGTCTAAAAGGCCTCATAGCCCACATCTGATTTTCAGCAGCCCCCATGTACACCCAAGTGCCTCCATCACCTCCTGTGCCCTTCTCCTTCCTGGAGCCTGGGGAAAGATCTCTTCTTTCTCTCCCTCTCATCCTCCTGCCTAGCAGACATTAGAGCTTCACTGGCAGCTCAAAAGCATTCCTGGGACTCGAGTCCAGCAGTTACAGAGGCCTGTGGAATGTCCACTCCTGCCACTCCCATGCCACCAGGCCACCCTGGTGCTTCCCCACACTGCCCCTCAGAGAACACTGACCTAATGCCGTGCGTCACAAAAGAGCCAGCACCAGTCTAGAATATGTGCTGCCGAAGCGAGCACAAGAGCCAGCACCAGTCTAGCACACCCCAGTAACCATGAGCTTCATAACAGTGCTTGGAAGACCTGCACAGCCTTGATTGTCTCCATTTTACAAGAGTAAACTGAGGCTCTGAAGGTGATGTTGCCTGCCTAAGGTCACCCAGGTGATGAATGGTGGAGTTGGCCCTCAACTCTGGGAGGGCACGTGCACCCAGGCTGATGTGCAGGTGGCTCACTGGGTGAGTAGAGCAGCTGCTAAACCCAAGGGAGAACCACTGCTCCCCACAGCTGGTGAACAAGCCCTGGCTGCTCAGAGCATGGCATTGGCTGGGATGAGGGCCCCAAGGAGCTCAGCAGAGGAACCAGTGAAATCCCAAACAGCAACCTCACAGTGGGTAAGGAGGGGAGTCTCTCCAAAAAGGCAGGCCAGGGCAAGGGTATGTGTGCTCTGGCTGGTGACCTGAGGGGCTCAGCCTGCTGAGCTCTGTGATCACAGAGCCCTAGCAAGATCTTCTGGGCTTAACTTTCAGGAAGGTCAAGTCTGGTTTGCAGAGAAACCTCTTGACAAAGCCATCCCCAATTCCATCATAACTGTTTATCAAGGAAAGCTGGGGAAGCTCTGACCTATAGTGGCTAAAATCAGGATCACCTGGCTTCTGGAGACACCCCAGGCTGGGTAGACCCTAGGGCTAGTCCAGACACAACAGCGATTATTAATGTCCTATCTGCACCTGGCATGACTCTTGCTGCTGGCACCAGATGGAAGGATAAAGTGAGGACTGCAAAGGGAAGCCCTTGGAAAGTTGCAGGCCTCAGATAAACATCAGGAAGATGGTAATTAGGGTGAAGATGTGATCCTCACACGCTGAGGACTCTCCATCTAAAACAACAATGCGGGGGAGACCTGACAGGCCAGGGCAACCTAAAGACCGCACCTGCTCGGGACAGCACCAACAGCAGGAGGCAGGACAAAGGGCCACATACCTTGTAAGGTCATCCTAAAGTCTGTTTTCCCCATATAAACACGCTTTTGAAAAATAATATATACATTTTACTAAAAAGGTATTCCTAAAAAAATAAAACAGTACAACCTCAATTTTATAGGACTAGGTTTCTGATGCTATACAAGCCCCAAGGGCAATTTGGTTTCCTATTGATCTGAGAGGCTTCTTGGCCTGGCTCTGACATCAGCAGATTCAGACCTGGAGACTTCCTGAGAGTGGGATGGATCTCACACAGGCCCCCCCGCCGAATGGGCTCAGTGAATGCATGTGCATGGAGGGAACCTGCCACCTCTTCTTTGGGGGCTGAGAAATGGCTGTCCTGGGCAGGGAAGGGTCTAGCTTCATGAGGCAATGAGGAACTGGGGAGCTATTTCTGGTGTGTGTCATGAAGATGCCCCTGTCCGGCCTTGGATAATGACAGCGGTAGCAGCAGGAGCAGCACCTAACACATCAGCAGAGCATGGCATTGCTGGGCACTGTTCAATGAGCTTCACACAGGCTGACACATTTAATCCTCCCAAGATGCCTGTGAAGTGGGTACTGTTATCAGCTATGTGTTCCAGATTCGGAAAATGAGGCTCAGAGGTTAAGTGACTTGCCCAAAGTCACTGAACTAGGCTGTGGTGAGCCAGACAGCTCTGAGCCACTCCTCCCTATGGGCTCGCTCAACTTCCTGGCCTCAAGGCCTTTGCTCTGTACAGAGGTGCCACTGAAGGGTCACCCTAGAGAGGACTGAGATTGGGTCCCTGGCCCTCAGACTAGGGCCAAATAGGCCACAAACATCCACAGAGGTGGCCTTGCCACATTGGGCCACACCCAGCCTGTTGAACAGGAAGGCAGGCTTTGAGGACTGTGAGCCTCTGTAATGGGGCGCCCTGTTTATGTCACCCGGGGGCTGGAGACTCTGTGACTCACTCAGTAAACACCCCTAGCTGCTGCCCACTGCAGTTCCCGTCGTTCTCCCCTGGAAGGATGTTCTGCAGGATGAAGGCCTGAAGGATCCAGAAGGCACATTTTCCTGTGGGAGGCCACTTTGAAGTAGCCCTCATGTGGGAGGGAAGGGGCAGGGGGGCAGCAGTGGGATAGAGAATAGCATGATTGAGACGATGCGTTGAAGTAGGAGTCAGTGTTGGGGTGGTGGGACACCCTCCCCCTGGAGAGCACAGAGGCACTTCGGGATGGGGGGGCACAGTGAGGAGTATTCGCTGAGGGGGTGGCACCCAAGGCCAATACCCACAGACCAAGTAGGGAGCCCAGCTGAGCAAGCCACTTGGGAAGAAGGATGGCAGTGGCCACCTGGTTCTAGGCCTCAGGAGAAGGCTATGTCAGTCTAGACCATCCAGAGAGGGGCCTGCTACATGGCCTCGTAACACCAAGGTCAAGGGTTCGGATTCCCCTACTGGCCAGCCACAAAGAAAAAAAATTGGTTAATTGTATGGTATGTGAGTTATATCCCAATAGAACTATTACCCACACCCCAGAGAAGGGCCTGCCCTCTACTGGGCTGATCCAAAGAGAAGAGAGCGGGAAACCTCCAACGCCCTGGTGAAGACAGCTTGTGGCTATGGCTGGAACACCTCAGCTAGAGCTCCAACTCCAGGAGAGGAAGGTGGGCCTGAAGGTGACGGCCATGCCTGAGGATAATATAGCTGGATTAACACAAATGCACCCTGTATGGTTCTGAAAGTGGCTTGACCTTTAAGGCCTCACTAGGGCTTCATCGTGGAATCCAAGTTTCCTCAGGAGACATCAAGTCCCTCAAGAACACCCTTCACTTCGTGGCATCCAGAAACACACATATTGTCAGTTTTACAAAGCAGGTGACTGGCTGACGTGCCTGACATCTGCTCGGGGGTGGACTGCCGTTTGGATTTGCAAAGGGGCTAAACGGTGTGAGGTAGGATAAGGGTGCCAGAGGGACATACAGACACCAAGCTCCAGACCACAGGACAGCCTTCACTTATTCTCTGTGACACAAGTTTCTTGCAAAATTACTTTAATACTCCTAACTACTAACACATAACAAACCTTCCATGAGCACCCCTAAAACAGTGACAGGAAATATTTTTAGTGTTGTACTCCTCTGGATCCATGAAGCTATTTTTAACCATCTTCTCAGACTTAATATCCGATTTTATCCTCTAAAGTTCTAATTGATTCCACCTCCCCTGATCTCTCACTTGATGAGGCCGTGAAGAACATTAGGCAGTTTCTGACAGGTTTGAAGTGGGGTATTTTTCAAAGTCTTTGCAAGTTGCTCAGATCTCTCTTAGCACCTGCAGCTTTCAGACATGTCTGTAGCCCCATAACCCCCAGTCATGACACCTGGCCTTTCTCCTCAAGTGTGCTTCCTTCAGTGTGCTACTGTGACATGCCATGTACAATGTGACACAACGTGGAGCAATCCTCAGACCAAGAATGAGAGGTAGGGAAAGGATGCCACACCATTTCAGCCCCATTTTGGTTAGATACAACAAGAGTCCTTTCTGTCCCTCATGTGGGCTGAACTGGGGACAGCTCTTCCTTGTTGTTGGTCTCCTCTCTCCCCTTTAACAGCTTTAACACCTTCCTCTTTTCCTCGTGGGCCACATGCGTCTCTCTAGTAGCATTGCTCTGCCCATGTGCTGGCATGGGAGAGGGGGATCAGCAGAATCCCAGCCTGGCATCAAGGGCCAAGGAGACAAGGAGTCAGAGGACCTTGAAATCCTACCTTGCCCCACCCTCACATGCCACATGCCAGCCACCTGGGCTTCGCTCATTCCCTGGATGTGCCCATGGCCCCTCCAGACCTACAGACAGACTGCTCCCTCTGCCAGGACCACTCTCCCTCCCTTAGGTGAGATGCCCCCACTGGCCACACTCCATTGCTGGCCACCACCTCTCATCAGGACATTTTGCTCTTATTGAAACTGCTGCACTATGAGTCTGTGTTACATATGAGTTGCCAACACAAGCTCCAGAGGGCAGGGCCCACATCTACCTCATTGATGAAGGTAGTCAAGGCCACAACTAACATTTATTGAGCAGCTACCTAGAGCCAGGCATGGGCCAAACACTTCCCACAGATTCATCTCCCTTAATCCTCACCACGAATGTGGAAGAGAGAGCCCACGATCACCTGCACATTGCAGATAAACACGCCAGGGCTTGGAGAACTGCAGGGATTCCTCTGGGGTTGCTTGGAGCATAAAGAATGACACCAGGAAAAAAAAAAAAAAAAAAAAAAAAAAGACACCAGGCTTGAACCCAGAGCCTGGGCTCTCGGGAGCCTTGAGCCATTGCTCACATTTCCTTGGCATGTCCCTGGAGTGCCCACCCAGCAGAGTGGTATGAGTGGACAAACAGTGTTTCTTTCAAATACTGTTGTGATCCAGCTCTGGGTGGACACACTATGGCAGGAGCCAGCATTAGTGATTTTTAAGTCTAGTGTCCTGGCCAGGGCTTGGATGGTTCCGAGAGCCAGGATCTTGGGGCGGGCACTGCTGTTTCTTTAATTTGGATTGAAAAATCAATTACGGTTTTAAAAAATCCAACACCTGCCAGCCAACTTCAAATGGTCCCAATACCAGACCAAGTGTAGACACCTGGGTAAACTAACATCATGGCCTACCTGGGTAAGGACATCCAACTGGCCCACAATGTGCTCCAGCGTGCTGGTCAGCGTCTGAGGCATGCTGACGGGCTCCTGGGGCTGGCTTTGCACAGACTGCAGACTCCTGCTTCTGCCTGGTGGGATGGGGAAATCCACTTCCGGCTAATGAAAGACAGAAAGAAGATAGTCTCTCAGTCTATTCAGTGCTTGAGGAAATACCCAAGAGAGGAATAGCCCCTCTAAAAGATGCAAAATGGAAACCAGCAGCAAGCAAATTCCAAGAATTCCAAGTGTCAGTGAGAAATAGCAGCATGGCAGTGTTCCCACACCTGGGTCCACACACCCACCTTTCCCAGCAGAGGCCATGAGTGAGGAGCGGAATCAGAGCACCTGGCGGGCCCAGCTGGAAGGGGCCTGGTGGGGACAGACAGGTGAGCCAGTGAGTGCCTTCAGCCTGCTCTCAAAGGCCCTCAGGGAGGCTGGTCTGTCCCGTCACTTCATGCAGCTCTCACCTTCCAGCAGGCATCTTGGTGAGTCCAGAGACACTGAAGTCCGAGCTGGCCCTGAAGTCACCTCCCCTCCCAGTCGGCTCAACTCCTGTTCCCCACCCCCCAACATGGGGATGTCCCAGGCTTCACTAATGCCTTCCCAAGACCCCAGTAGCTGTGGCCCAGAACTGAGAGGAGGGGGAGGGATGTTCCAACCCAGCCCTGGCCTAGATCCCCCGGGAAAACAAAGATTTCTGTATGGATGTCCCAGCCAGATGGCTGTAAGGAGTCAGAATCCACAAGACAGGCACCCCTAGGCTGCTTCAGATAGGACTCCAGGAATGTGAGGGACTTGGTGTTTCTGCCTAAGACCCTTTAGCCCCCAAATTCAGAAAATTCAGCCCCTGGTCTATGCACAGATGACAGACAAAGGCTTCTCCTGACCTAGGAGGTGCCGTGCACATGTTCAGAAGGGCCGGATGCCCAGAGCAAGCCCAGAAGATGCCCCAGTTCTGGTCTTGTAGCCTGCAATTCCTCTGTGGACTTGTTTCCTGGGGAAATGTCGTGCTCAGTGATGGCCTACACTCTGGGCTAGCCTCAAAGCCTCAGGAACCCATAAATGCGGCCACACTTGGGGCTCAGAGTTTTAAACTACTACCTCACCAATGGGCATCTGAAATGTTACCACATCACTCCCAGCTTTGCCAATCCTCCAGGGCTCTCTGTCACTTTTAGGAGAAAATTCAAGCCCCCTGGCAAGGCACCCCTATCCGGCCTGCCTCCTTCCACAGCTCCTCTCCTGCCTTTGCATCTTGTGCCCAGATCATGTGGTCCTCTACTGTGGATGCCCTCACCCACCCTTCCTCTCCCTGCTCCAGGCATCCCAATCCCACCCTCACCTTGCAATGCCCCACTCCTAATCAGGAGCTCCTCTGTGCTCCTGCACATCTGGGCCTGCCAGATCCCTGCCCTGATCCTTCGGCCACTGCATCTCCAGGGCCAGGGCACATCAGTGGGGTGAGTTTTTTGTTTTTTTTTTTAAAGATGACCGGTAAGGGGATCTTAACCCTTGACTTGGTGTTGTCAGCACCACGCTCTCCCAAGTGAGCCACAGGCCAGCCCTCAGTGGGGTGAGTTAATGCCAGCCTACCCACAGGGCCAACCACCTGCCCATGTGTCTATGCCCTCTCCCTGCCTCCTACCTGTCCTCACCGCTCCTCTCCCCCCAAACCCACGACAACACTGGGCTCAAAACTCACCAACTACCCATGCCACAGAGCCAAGGCTACTCCACTCAGCAGCCCCCTCACACCCCAGAGCCACAGCCAGTGCAATATACTGGCTATAACTAGAGCTCACCTAAGATGCCCAGTGTGCATGTATCCCCACCATTCAGCCCTGACAACACTAGGCTGCCTGAAGACCAATCAGCAGCCAGCTTGCATCTGCACTTCCTCTGAGTCTCCCATTGCTTCGATAACCCATCGTGGCCCAGCTCTGGGAAGATGCTCTGCCCTGAACGTGCTCACCTGGGCAGGCATCAAAGTCCTTGAAAAGAATCAGCCCAGGAGAAGATTCCCAACCAGCAAAGGAGGAATGTGAGGGCAGTTTAGCACATGAATCCCACCTGCCCATTTTCCTCTATTTAGGAAAGTGTTCACCCATCGTCAGAATGTCTGTCGTGCACTGTGGCCATTTTGAAAGACCTCAGCCATAAGGTCTGGGCTCTTCCTGTCTTCCAGAAATCAATGCACTCCAGATCACAATGCCCACCCAGAAGTCCATCCCAAAAGGCAACATTTCAGAAGCCCACCAGCCTTGCCACGACAGTCTTCACCACACCACAATTGCCCCAAGACCCAGGCAGTTTTGTCGGGAGACACAGCAGAGTGCAATGGTAACTCAGCCAGGCCTCAGCTGAAATCCAAGCTCCACCACTGAGCAGCTAGGTGGCATCGGGCAAGAGGCTTAACTTTTCTGGGCCTCCACTTCCTCATCTGTAAAATGGGGCTGATAACTGGGCCAGCCCTTCAAAGGGCTGGGTTGTAGGAGGCACATATCTGAAGTCACCAAGAGGCCTTTCTTGAGAAATGTTCGGTCTTGTGCCCACTCTTCCCAGAGGATCCCCCCCTTTCAGACATGTAGCTCTTCCTCTGGACACTGAGTCCCCATGGCTCTTCTAGGGAAGGCCACTGGAGGGAGGATGTAAGCCAGGCAGCCCTTTTGTCCCAACAGCAGGTCTCCTCACAGAGTGGGCAAGACTGATGCTGCCTGGCAAGGAGGGAATAGAAATCCTGAGTGTTTCTGCAGAAGGGCTCAGAAAACGACAGTACTGAGCTGAGCCTCTGGAAGCACAGAGGATGCTGAGGGGGAACACCACTGACTTTAGCAACAGAAACCCTCCTTCTGAGCCAAAGCTGAGCCAGCTCCAAACTGAGGCCCAGATAGGAAATGACTGTCCGAAGGCATCCACCTCAAAACCCCAGGGCTGCCCCAAGCCGTTTCACTGCCTCCTTGCCCAGTCCCGTCAGGAGACACTGCAGCACTTAACACACCAGCAGTCCAGCAATTGCTCTGCTTACTTGCCACCTACTATATGTCCTCATTTAATGTCACCTCACTTAATCCTTATGATAGCCCTTTGCAATAGATATTATTAACCTTATTTTTGAGATGGGGAAACCCAGGCTCAGAGAGGTTAAGTAACTTGTTCTAAGTCACCCAGCAAATGACAGAGCTGGGATCTGAATCAGAAGTGCAGACTCTTCTTGGACATCAGGCAGCTTCTGGCAGGTGACATCAGCTGCAGTTGGGCTTCCACGTGCATAGCTCCTCTCCTGCATTCTCGTGGAGGCCCACAGCTCCTGGGTCTAACACTTTTTGTGTCATTCCCCAACCCTGCCTGCTCTGGAATGTCTGCCCAGCACAGAGGTGAGCACACAGCAGGCCCTCCACACTCATTCAAGACCTCAAAGAGATGAGCTCGCCACCTGAAATTCCAGCACTGCAGCACAGGGCGAGCAGCCCTGCCCCCATGGCACTGCAGCCACTTACCTGTACTCTAGCATTCTGGAGCTATGGCACTTCCCTGAGAGCTTGGAAAACAGTGAGAAAGCCAAGATAAGAAAACGACACGCAAGAATGGGAAGAGTTGCTTGAACAAGGGCCATGAGTAATCACAGAATAACCAGAGCAGCATTTAAGGGGAAAATTCTTGTCAGCACTTTGTCTGTTCAGCATCAAAGGGTCCAAAGGGCTTTGACTAGTGGTTCTTAGTTAAGCATATCATAAGTAAAATCACAATAAAAATTAACCCACACATACACACTAACAGATCTACGCCAAGTCAATAATTTCTCACATTTGCCAAATATAAACATCTTAATATCCTAACAACAACAAAAAGTGACTCTTAAGAGATGCGGAGAGAGGGGAACTCTCATACATTGTTGGTGGGAATGCAAAATGGTGCAACCCCTATGGAAAATGGTTTGGAGGTTCCTCAAACAGCTGAAGATAGATCTACCATACGACCCAGCTATCCCACTGCTGGGAATATATCCAAAGGAATGGAAATCATCAAGTCGAAGGTATACTTGTTTCCCAATGTTCATTGCAGCACTCTTCACAATAGCCAAGAGCTGGAATCAACCCAAATGTCCATCATCGGATGAGTGGATACAGAAAATGTGGTATATCTACACAATGGAATACTACTCAGCTATAAAAACGAATGAAATACTACCATTTGCAACAACATGGATGGACCTTGAAAGAATAATACTGAGTGAAACGAGTCAGGCAGAGAAAAAGAAATACCACATGTTCTCACTTATTGGTGGGAGCTAAAAAAAAAAAAAAAAAAAAAGAAAAACAAACAAACAAACTCACCCACACACACACACACACACACACACACACACACACACACACACCCGCACACACACACACACAAAAAAACTCGGGGGGTGGGGAAGAAGATATAACTACTATACTTTTTTTGAAGTTGTTACAACAAGCAAACGGAAAGGACATTCCTGGGGGGGAGGGGAGAGAGGGAGGAGGGAGGAAGGTGTCGGTGACGGGCCATAATAATCATATACAGTGTATATTGACAAAATAAAAAAAAAAAAAAAGAGATGAATTTATTTAACTTTGTGGAAATCTCAC